TTTATTTCGAGTTTCTCTTTTAACTAGTTTGTTCTTTATACTTGAGCACGTTTTTTATTTAGTGTAAGAGATGTTAATCAAAATTTTTATTACGCTTCCGCATTTGACATTTTTTAATACACATATTTCATTCTAAATTTTCAGGGCCGTTACACAAAATCTATGTTGGTCCACAAAGATATAAATATACACATATATATATATATATATAAATTCATATGTGACATATTTATGAGCACCCAAACAGAGAACCCTGATGGAAAAGAAAATTGAAAATACCCATATGGAACTTCCATATGTGTAAACTCGGTTTTTACTTGAGTACAAAGGAAAACCAAAGTTACAGAGATACCCCACTTGTTAATGACAAAATATTAATCATAATTCATAGAGATATATTCATTCATACATCACTGGTTTCCTACTCTCTATATATCTATATATGTATTTCCTTCTAAATCCCTCTGAAAGCAAAATAATTGAGGCATATTACAGTGTAGACAGAATTGAAGAGCTTTAATTAGCACCGTTGATTTTTACTCAGAGATGGATATGAGCATGGAAATGATGAAGCTGTTTGCAGAGTTGAATACAGGCTTCTTGGAGAGTACAAGTGTTTCCGACTACTATGGAGAAACTTTCTGGGCCCAACAAGAACAATCTGAAATTCCTGCAAATTGGGTTCATAACAATCTTCCAATCAGTACTTTTAATAGTAACACTGGACATGGTGGAGTACTACCAGTTCATCGTGGCACCAGCTCGATCATCGGAGATTATTTCGATCAAAGAAAAACAAGAATAGTAAATGAAGAATCCACCAGCAATTCCCAGAACATATATTCCGCAAAAATTGCAGGAAGCTCCAGTACTAGGAAAAAGAATCTGGGTGCATTTTTATACACGTAACACTCACATGTGTGTGTGTGTGTGTGTGTGTATGCATATGAATTATTCAGATTTTAATATGTTTTGATTTTTCAGAACTTAGGAAAAGGGAAGAAAAATAGGAGCAGTGAGAAAGAGATGGAGAAGTCTGAGGAGGTAATTCATGTTAGAGCAAAAAGAGGACAAGCCATTGACAGTCACAGCATTGCAGAAAGGGTATATTTGTGTATTTTTTTTTGTATATATATATATATATATATATATGTATGTGTGTGTATATCATCAAGCATATTTATGGGTAATCAATAAAATAGAATTATTATATACTCATATTGTTCAAAATGTGAGAAGAGGAAAATTGTTTTATAGCAGACATTTCTGCTTCAAACATTGCCCCTCCAGATATTTCTTGACAATTTGTTTTCACATTGTAGCATTTTATCACATAAAAAACATGCTTCCTCTTTATGTCTAGAGCCATACAGCTCAATTCAAGACTTGTATACTCGGATTCAGCCCAGAAACATATTCTTTACTCGAGTCCTACAAACACAAAAAAAATGTTTATCCCAATTCTGTCTTTCCTAATAAACCCGAAAGAGCTTTCCCAAGCAAAAGAAGAACATTCAACAATCACAGCATAACGTGAAGTAAAACCTGGCAACTCCTCACCAGAATGGCTTGGGGGAAGTCAGGTGCTTTTTCCCCAGAAGTCAGGAATGACCCTATCCACTTGGGGGCCGCAACTGACCTTAACTAATATCAGAATTACAACACTATACAATTCCCAAATATAATATTTCTCCGCTTACTAAAATATTGATAAGGGAATAAAACAAAGAACCCCCTGATTCAACTGAGAAAGGAAAATTCTCCTGGTAATCTAGCAATATAATTCCCCAATTCCGTATCATTTAGAAATCCAGAACTTTCAGTTCAAACAACCAAAGACATCCCAAAACACACAAATTCCATGTACATAAACAAGTAAAAAAATATATATTTAATCCAGATTCCATTTATTTTCTTGTCGACCAAACAGAGGTAGCAACACACACACGCACACACACCAAGGAAAAGAAGGAAAGGTGGAGGTGTGAAATACGTAAATGGAGAGATAGGCATACTTTCCAATACAGTCTCTGAGAATCTCTTCCGTTTTCTCACACTTGCTAATGAATCTTCCGGGCTCAACCTCCTCGGTCTTGCACTGCGACCTAACGATCTTCCTCGTGGAGCAGCGATCACCGGAGGATCGATCAAGAGCATCGCCGGCGAGTGAATCCTCCGGGTCCTCTGGCTCGTCTCGCAACAAGCAGAAGCAGAATATGGAAGCGGAAGAAGCAGAAGCAGATGAGAAGAGGACGATGGAAGCTGCAGTGAAGAACGAAGAAGCAGGCCGGGTAGAAGAAAAACAAAATTTGGATTCAAGGGCAAAATAAGAATTAACAAATAATTATGAGGGTAAAATGGGAAGAACAATATTCAACCATTAAAAAACCACTTTAAAAAAACTGAAAAAAATAATAATAATAATAATACCATCTGTTTGGGAAGTAATCCAAATAAAACAAACCCATTGAATTACCAAAACCCCAAAAATTCATTTTATTTTATTTATCTTTTGGCGTCTCTGCTTCTAATTTTCTTCTTCTCAGCTTCTCTGTCTTTCTCACAGAATCTCTCAAGCAACTCTTTCTCATCGTTTTTCTTCGGGCTCTTCCTCCGTCGCAAGTGTAGCTTCTCTAGCTTTTGTCGATCAAGAAATGTGAGTAAAGTCGATTTGATGCTTTGTATTTCTCTTCCTCTGTTCTTAATTTGATGACGATTTTGAACTCGTAATTCTGTATGTTATTTTCTTCTTCGATTGAAATAGGACTTCATATCAGCTAAAATCCATTCAATTTCTATTGATTTAACTAGGTTTTGTCAGTTCTGGTAATCAATCTAGTCCAGTTTGATTTGAGTAAAGATTTGTTAATTCTGCTAGAATCTTAAATTTTGTTTGGTAGCTGAGAAAATTGGAGTAGAAAATTCATCTAATGATCCCAATTTAATGCTAGGTTTCCATGTTTTGATCAATTTTCTAATTATGCTTCGTGTAATTGATAGTCAAACTTCGTCGGAAAGAGCTTTCAGAAGACCAAAACCAACATCCATCTTAATTTCCCCAAGAATGCTTTCTACTTCTCAAATCAAGCAAGATGTGTTCTTGAGTTTCAGAGGTGAAAACACACGAGAAAATTTTACCAGTCATCTTAACGAGGCACTATGTCGGAGTAAAATCGATACATTCATCGACTACAAGCTGAGGAGAGGAGATGAAATTTCTTCAGCACTTCTGGAAGCAATCAGAGGATCAAAGCTCTCTCTGATCGTTTTCTCCAAGGACTACGCTGATTCCAGATGGTGCTTGGAAGAACTAGTTGAAATCCTTGAGTGCAAAAGAACAATTGGTCAGATTGTGATTCCAGTTTTCTATCAAGTAGATCCATGTGATGTATGTAATCAAACTGGGGAATTCGGAGATTCATTTGCTAAACTCGAATCGAGATTTAAAGACAGGATGAAACGCTGGCGAGATGCTTTGGCCGAAGCTGCTGATATGTCATCATCGAACTCTGATTTGTATTCAACCAAATCAATAAGGTTTGTTTGGTTGCTTTGAGATCATAATTGTTGAATCATTATAAAGTTGTTATACTGACGCAATTCGTATTCGATCGTTTGTGTGATTTTAGGCCAGAATCGAAGCTTGTGGAAGCAATTGTGAAAGGTGTTCTGAAGAAGTTAAATCTTGCATCTTCAAGTGTTCCGAGAGGCCTGGTAGGAGTCTCAAGAGTTGAGAAAGTTCTCTCATTGCTATGCCTCTGGGAACCAGATGTTCGGATGGTAGGAATTTGGGGAATGGGCGGTATTGGTAAGACTGCCATTGCCGGAGCTGTTTTTCACCAAATTTCTAACAATTTCGAAGGTTCTCATTTCTTTAATAACATTAGTGAAATAGATAAAAGAGGTGACCTAGTTATTAGGCGGGATGAGCTTCTTTCTCAAATCTTAGGAGATGAAAATTACTCGGATATAGGAGCTCCCAGTTTAGAACTCAATTTTACTAGAGACAGACTCCATCGTAAAAGAGTTCTTATAGTTTTTGATGATGTAAGTGATATAAATCAACTGGAAACCTTGATTGGAGGTCTTGAATTCGGGTTAGGAAGCCGAATTATTGTGACTACCAGGGATAAACATGTACTTCAGTATTATGAAAATACAAAAATATACAAGATGGAGAAACTAGAGGAAGAAGAATCTTTGCAGCTGTTTTGTCAACATGCTTTCGGACAAAACCAACCGAGAGAAGATTATATCGAGCTTTCATATAAGGTCGTGAACTATGTTCAAGGCCTTCCTCTAGCCCTTTTCATTTTAGGTTCTTCACTACATGGCAAAAGCACTAAACATTGGGAGTCCGCAATAAACAAGTTAAGTAAAGTTATCGACCCTAAAATTCTGAATGTACTGAAAACCAGTTACAATAGACTTGATTATGCAGAGAAGAACATATTTCTCAATATTGCAAGTGACTTCAACGGGAAGGATAGAAATCACACAATCAAAATTCTCGAGAGTCAGTATGATAGTTATGTTGATTCTGTCGTTACCGATCTTATTGATAAGTCTTTGATAACAATTTCACAAGATGACAAGATTTACGTGCATGTTTTACTACAAGCGATGTGTTGGGATATTATTAGTCATCAAAAAAAGATGAAGTATTAGCTTGTAATTGTTTCTGTTTCTGTTTTCTTGTCAATGTCAAGGATCTGTATTGGATTATACAGATTTGTCAGATGGAGCATGGAAAAACCTTGTTGTTGCATATATACTGGTATAGCATGTAAGCTGACTTGTAAGCATATATTATAATTAAAATAATTTTTTTTTTTTTTTTATAATTTGATCTGATCGAGCTCAGTTCAAATAAGAACATATCAAATTTTTTTGGTATACTTATACTAAGTCTGACCACCCAAAGTAAATATTATTTGGTTCGAACTTGACTGATCTGAAACGAAACGAAATCAATTTTGTTATATTAATTTTGTTAAAATTATAAATCTATTTGGATAAATAAATAGGTAATAAAATGGTTTGATTTAATAATATTATTATTATTATTACTATTATTAATTACGTCTTAGCTCATGGGGGAATTTCAGCGCCATGTATAGCCCTAAAATTCTCCAGCTTTATAGAAATGCTTGTGGGAAAAATCAAACACTGAACAACATTAATAATCATCTCTCTAAATCAACCATTCATTTTCAACCTTCCACCAAAAATCTGCTGGAACAAGAATCCTATTTTCTCATTCTATACATATACATACATATATATAACATTTGGCAAGTGGGTTCACTCTCGATCGATCAGCGCGAGCGGTCGAGCAAATCAATATGGCTGCATCATGCGCCATGTTCATGCTTCTGATGATCCAGACCATGCTGACAATGTCAGCCGATGGCATCGGCGTCAACTGGGGAAACATCGCGTCTCATCCTCTGAATCCCGACATCGTCGTCGGCATGTTGAAAGACAATGGAATTCAAAAGGTGAAATTGTTCGATGCAGATTCTTGGACTCTCAGCACTTTAGTTGGAACAAATATTGAGGTTATGGTCGGAATTCCTAATGATCAACTCTCGACACTTTCTAAAGATTTCGGGGCTGCTAAAGACTGGGTTCGTGAAAATGTCACGGCTTATCTTCGTCCTGGTGGTGTCAATATCAAGTATGTACTCAGTTTTCTTTTTTCTTCTTTTATTTATACATATATATATATATGTGTGTGTGTGTGTGTTTTACGTGCATGATTTGTAGTGTGTAATTGTTTTATATTTCAGAAACTCATAAACACTTTTTCTAGTTCTTTCTTGATCTTTATATCCATGCATATATATATATATATATATATCCAATATATACATATTGTACGTGCATGATTTGTAAATATGTAATCGTTTTATTTTTCAGAAACTGAAAGCTTTTCTTCTAATTCATTTCTTAATATTTTTATCCATGCATATATACATTCAATATAGCTCATACATTTATCATTAGATAATATATGAATATCAATTATAATATAAAAAGTAACTTCCAACCAAATGAGAATATATAAAATTATGTTTCAACTTAAATTTATGATCTTCTACAGAAAAAGAAACATGCTAATTTTTTTTCCTAAGAAGTAGTTGGTATGTACATAATATGTGATTGTTTGGTTGTATGTATATATATATATATATATATAAATATATATACTTACAAATTCAAACCTTTTTTCTTAGTTATATATATACTAACAATCTCAAACCCCTTTTTCTTAATTCCTTTCTTGATCTTTTTAAACATGCATGATTTCTAATATCTAATTGTTTCATATTATATATATATATATATATATATAATCACAACACATTTTCCCCTATTTCTTTTTCAATTTTTTCGTTCATACATTTATATTTTTGTTTTTAAATAAAATTTCACATAGACATTAATAGCTGATACATAGATCTAATCATAAAATTTAAAAAAAGTTAAGTAACTTTTAAAGGAGAACACGTTATAACTCAAACTTAAATCTACCATTTACCTAATCAGTAACTGTTATACATATTTTTTAGGTGCATGATTTGTAATATGTAATTGTTTGATTATATATACGTATATAGATATCAGGTATATATGTATATACACCCACAAACTCAAACCCTTTTTTTTTTCTATTTACTTTCTCCAATCCTTTTTCATACATTTATGATCTGTGACTTGTAATTCTTTGATTACATGCATAGATATCAAGTGTGTATATACATGTACATACATATATAATATCAGAAACTCTAAAATCCTTCTCTCTAATTTCTTTCTTCAATCTTTTGATCCACACATATATACGATTTCTGATACCTAACGTTTAATTCTACATATATATATACAGATACGTAGCAGTAGGGAACGAGCCATTCCTAACGAGTTACAACGGATCATTTCTAAAAACAACATTTCCAGCATTAAAGAACATTCAAAAAGCTCTAAACGAAGCAGGAATAGGAGACAAAATCAAAGCCACAGTCCCCCAAAACGCCGACGTTTACGAATCCCCCTCCGACTTACCCTCCGACGGAAATTTCCGACCAGACATCAGAGATCTCATGCTACAAATCATTCGTTTCTTCAAAGAAAATTCTTGTCCCTTCACTGTAAACATTTACCCTTTTCTCAGTCTTTACCAGAACCCATCATTCCCTTTAGATTTCGCCTTCTTTGATGAACAAGGTGAAGAGAAAATGGACAAAGGAGTGAAATATAACAATGTGTTCGATGCAAATTTCGATACTTTAATCTGGTCATTGAAGAAAGCTAAAGCTGACGATCTTCGCATAATCGTCGGTGAAGTTGGTTGGCCGACGGATGGTCATTCCGCCGCTACTGTAACGTTAGCCGACAGATTTTACAAAGGTTTGTTCAAGAAGCTTTTTGCAAATAAAGGAACTCCATTAAAACCTGGTAAAATGGAAGTTTATTTATTCGGGTTACTCGATGAAGACATGAAGAGTGTTCTCCCAGGATTTTTCGAACGTCACTGGGGGATTTTCCAGTACGACGGAAAACCGAAGTTCCCTTTAGATTTCACCGGAAAGGGTCGGAGAATTATGCCGGTAGCGGCTAAAGGTGTTCAGTATTTGGATCAGCAGTGGTGTGTGGTTGATAAGGAAACGGGTGATTTGGAGAAGGTTGGGAGTGAGATTGATTATGCTTGTTATCATGGAGATTGTAGTAGTTTAATGTGGGGATCGAGTTGTGGTAAATTGGATCAATGGGGGAATGCTTCGTATGCTTTTAATATGTATTTTCAGATGCAGAATCAGAATGTTGAAGCTTGTAATTTTAATGGTTGGCGAAGTTGACTAAGACGAATGCTTCTCAGGGTTCTTGCCTTTTTCCTATTCAGATCGTTAGTGGCGGATACATGAATCTTAAACCCCTCGTTTGCTTATACTTTGATGATTATAGTTGCAGGAGTGATTCATGTTTTGGGATTGATTTGATCAACTCTGTCGGTTTATGAGATATTCTTTAAATAATATATATATATATATATGTTATCATTGTTTCTTCAAAAGTTATGATTAGGAAGAAGTGTTAGCTAGCTTAATTACCCAATTTTTCTTCTCTTAAATCTCCAGTTAGATCTTTTTAGAAGTTACAAGTAGTTCATTGAACTCTTTTGATTCATGTGTGAGATAATGAAATCTTTTGATTCCTGTCATTTTCTATCCCTTGAATTTTTTTAGTCTTTTGAAATTTTTTTTTTTAACGTGATCCGATTTTAACATGTAATTTATCGGAATCAAAATTTTTATAAAAAAAATATTAGAATTAAATGAATAATTTAGAGATGAAAAGTCAGGCAGGGCAACCTTTCTTTTTTAAATTCTTGCAGCCAATTACTAACATTTTTTATATAAATAAAAGAAGAACAAACTACTCTTTTAAGTCCTTTAAAATTTTAGAGTAATTAATCATATAATTTAGTTATATTATATAAAATTAATAGATATATTTTAACAAATAGATTTTAACTCTTTCTCTAATTATAATACTACAACTATATATAAATGAAATGGTAAAATAGAATAAATAAAAATATAAATTACGTACAAATATCGATTCAACCGTAAAAATGTATAACATATTTAATTCTAATGTATCAGTCGGTAACGAAAAATGCAAAAATAATACGTTGATATTGATATGATAGACAAAATTTTTTATGAACGAGACTAATACCAACTCGCCCATTTCATTAATATAGTTGAAGGTTTGACATTAAGATGTAAGGTTGAGACTGAGATTGTAGGAGAACTCCAGAAGTTTAGTTTAGTGGTAGAAGGTAGACTGTAAATCATGTTGATTTCTAAGTATTGAAATAAGATTATACATGGTGTAGACAAATATATACTTTTAGTATATGTATTTATTTCCGTCTATATAGTTTTCTTCTAAAAGAATTATTATATACAGAAATTCTGAGAGCCATAAATCTGGTTTTTCTATATATACTATGATATCTTTTGAATAAATCAAAATTTCAAAAAATAAGACCCAAAAGGAAAAAAGAAAAATTGAAGCCCTAACCCGCGTCTCCTGGTTCGTCCTCCTCGGCGCAAGTACGCTTCTCCCTTCCGCTTCATCTTCTTCCTTCGCACCTGCTTCCTTAGCGCAGTGACTCCTCGATGCTTTTCGATTGTGTATTTGAAGTTCTCCTCTTTCTTTTTTAGGTAAAGCAACAAGAAGAGCTGCGAAGATTCAAATTAACATGGTAATTCTTTATTTACTCATGGATCTCAGTTTTGATTTAGTGCGCGCTTATTTTAGACTGAAATTAGTTGTTAAAAATTCAGTCTGGAAGGAAAGAGACGGTGCTGGATTTGGCAAAGT